TATAAACCTCTTAGCACTTTTTTAGTGAATCCAGGGTGGTCAGTTGGTGTTTAATAAGTGTTACATGTACGAACTACAGGAAACAAATTGTGTATATCGTAATTAATACAAAGATCCAACACATAAAAACATTTCTTTGAACCTGTAGGACTTAAATCAACGACCATGCTGCACCGTAGCGGTGCTCCAACCAACTGCTCCACAGGTCAAGTTATCGAGCTATAGATATTCTCCTATGTGGTTTTGTTATAGATTTTTGTACTAGCTTTCGGCATTCATCGCCGCTATAGGCATCTAGTACTTGTGACCTCTAGGGGCACTATATTTGACATTCAAAATTGTTCAAGTATTTTACGCGCTTGCTAGCAACAATTCTTACTGTAAACTAACAAATAGATAATGTACTAATAAACTCCGTTACGCCAAATTAATTTTTTGACATACTTGAGCCGATTGATTAACCATGATAATCATATCATGTGTTTTGCAATAATCACTTTTATCGGGGTTAAACTTAATTTACTTAATCCGGACTTTGACCTGAGGATCATAATTATCAAAAGTTATGTTACTTTCTTTGTTTTGTTTACACGTTTTGTGGTTTGTAAAAGGAACTATTTTTTTAACGCACACAGTCACTAAGGAAACCCTGTATCGCGGGTGCCATGGACGTACACATAGACACCCAAACTCTCGAGAGAAACAAATGTAGATCATACAAATATTTATCCCGGCCCTGGAATCGAACTCAGGACCTCTGCGTGGCAGACCAGCGTGGTAAGCGTTCAGAAACGGAGCTAAATATAGTTATGATATTCAATAATAATATTCGAAATTGTCAATAATGATAAATATATAATTGCATCTATAATGACGTAAACCAATATTTCATTTGTGGTTTGAAGGTTTGCATCGTGGGTTCTGGACGAGGAGGTCACGATTTCGATTCCTGGTAGGATCAGTTAGAGAAATTCATCATCATTATCAACCCATTTATACGTCCCACTGCTGGGCACCGGTTTCCTCTCAGGCGAAGGTTTAGGTCATAGTCCGCCTCACTGGCCCAATGCGGGTTAGGGGCTAGTCTGGATTCGAATCCACGGTCTCTGGTAGGTCAAACCTATAGGGCGTTTGCATACTACATCCGATTCGTATTCGTTCCAAATACGAGACTATACAAATCACTTCGGATGTCGCTTGTGCACTAAGTCTAATTTGAATCCGAGAGAATACGAATATCGCTTGTACACCTAGATATAAAATGATCCCTGTGATATTTTGGACCGTCATATTTCGGATTCGGAATTGATAGGAATCGGTATTAACATTAGCGGATTATTATTTTGGGAAATTATCTTTACTAAATTGTAGGTGTTCTAGATAGTGCCTAGGTGTGTCGTTTCTCTGACACTTATATTACAGACAGGCTATTCCCTAGTTTTGGATCAAATTGGTTTGGTTTACGGGCACATTATTTGTTACAGTTAATGTCCGTCATTCCAAGTTAAAATATGAAATTAAGTGTTTTAAAAATGGCTAGGTGAAATACAATGAGAGTTTCTATATATCCGCTCACGCGATGCGCTCCTTCTACCGCAAAATGGCGGCTATTTGGTTTCGCAAATTAGAAAAGCATTCAGTTTAAATACAAGTTTATATAAATAAAAATTATTATTCTGCATTCCTAAATAAATACCCTCCTTACTACCAATAAAAACATCTCAAATAAAATGCAGTAATACACCGAAAATCCTGCACTTAAAAAGCACAAATGAAATTTTTGGTGTATATGGATATATATGATAATATTCCGTTTGAGTGGTTCTAACGTTTACCATGAAATTACTCCTTAAAGTATAGTTTATAAACATTTATATTCAGGGTAAACTTAAAAAACGCTACTTACGGTATGTTTTCAATAAATAAACACCAAAATCACCAGCCCAAACAATAACACACACGATTGTCGTGACGTATTTTCGAAGTTGTTTATTTTTTTAAATGACAGACCCAGGCATTAAAAACTTTATGGTTTGCTAGAGTAGTTACCGAAATAGCAATTAATATTAGTTCTTTTACATGTTATAACTTCGATATCCGATAAATCGGTATAAAATCATCACCGGCACCTCTAGGGGTGGTATGAGTCTACGGCTGCATGTATCGCGTGAGCAGATAAACAATGTTGAATATTTTAACTATCCTTTTTGTCAAGAAAGCTTTAAAAGATATTAAAGTCATTTATCTTATATTTTGAATTTGCTACTTGTGTACTTCACGACCTTTTCCCGTTCGGGTAGGCAGAGATAATAGCCTTCCACTTGCTACGATCTTGACACACATCCAAGGGCACATAATTCAGAGAGATACCGGTTCCTCTGTGGAAAGGAAAACTAGGAACTCCTACACAGAAGGCAATTGTATTCTCAACTAGACTATTATTGCTTAGGAAGTTACCACACGGAATCGCATTGAGAATCGAATTCAAGTTTTTTCCCGTAGTAATACGGTTTATTTTGCTCTGGTCAAACGTCAGGGTCACTGGCTTTATTTTCAGAATTATTTTTTTGACAAACGAAGTTACAGCCATTTGAAAAATGTATATCGTATACCACACGTTTTCTATTTGGTTCAGTCGGTATTAAACAAAAATTGGCATATGTAAAGTACCATTTCAAAATTGCAGTTTTCTTGTAAGATTTTAGAGGTAAGTTTGTGTTTTTCTTTGTCGTGAAAATTTTTAGGAATTGTGTTTCACACCTTATACTAATCAGTGTACATCCTCAATTAGAAAGAAAGAAAGAAAGAAACATTTATTCGGCTATTACAAATAAAATATACAAATAATAATAATAATATTAACCTAAATTTCAATTAAAAAATAAACCACTAAAAAAAGTAATAAAAAAAAATATATATTACTAAGTACATAATTAATAGCCGAAAAGGCTAGCGAGCTCAGCTTAATGCTGGGTAGAGCCACAGCGCTGAATTCCACTATATATTTTTTCCGAAGTAATTGATTCAACTCTTTCACTGTTATGTGGGATCTATCAAAGCCATTTGAGGTTGTATCGACCCTTAAACCGGTCAAAAAAAGACTATCCACCCTAAAACGACTTAAGTTTTTTCCAACCTGCTCAAACGTTAATAAATGTGGTATCTCCTTTTTACAATTATGCATTGAAACTTATATTTACGTCAAAAATGGCGCGTCTGCATGCGAAGCCGACAACAAGAGGGGTTAAGATAAGAAGTCTTTAAATGTGTATTAGCCAAGCCTTCGGCTGTCCATAATCCTTTTCCCCGAATATTATTATATTAGATATTCAAATTTTATGTTAATGAGTGTACGCCTAATCGTAGGTTTCTGCCGCACAGCAGTAGTGTGAGCATTACTGAGCTCCGGTGTCGAAGGGAAAGGGTACTGGTGAAATTACAGGCACATGGGACTTGTCAACTTATGTCTCAGGGTGACAGACGCAGTGGCAGTGCCCCTTAGATGTTTGCGATTCGAAGCTCATAATTGTACTGCAACTGTTATGGATAGTCGTGTCGCTAACTAACAGGCGAACATATCACTACCATACTTAAATGTAGGAACTAGCTCACAGTGCCATTTTAGACGACTTCTCATAAATGCAATATAAAATTGTAGGCAATTCTTAAGATCATATTAAATGTTTTTTTGCATTAATAATAAACACTTGTAAAGTAACGTTCATTTACTAGAGTAACAAGGGAACGAACCACAAAAGATCCTCAAAGAGCAAGCGAAAAAAAAAACTAATAACTCACAAATTATCTAAATATTCTCATAATATCTTTTTATCAATAATAAGCAGCTCTTTGAAACCTCCGGTGTGACGGCTGACAGCTACTTCCACTTAACTAAGTTTAGATATCCAAACAGGAAATAGTCTAAACCTCTTTTATTGAGCGTGCTTGTAAAGCATTTTTTTTGTGTTTTACGCCACGTATTATTTAGATTTTATAAGCGCTAAATATCAAAATACAGACGACATACATTCTTCATGGAACTAGTGTTTGCTTACGACTATAACAAACTATTAATTGTGAATTCAGTCATCAACTCTGTGTACATCCCGACAAGGAAGTTTCTCAATTGAGGTGGAGATAGAACAATGTGCATATGTGTAATAAACCAGCCACGTATATTATACACGAGGACAATAAACAAATCCCCAAAACTATCCCGAGCCCGCATCACGGAGCCGGCTTTATGCAAACTTGAATAAGCTTCGCCGCTCCTCCAGTTTCAGTTTCCGAAATGAGATAAAACAGGTTCAAGAAGTTTAATGAGTAACAGCTTTAGCGAAGTAAACTTCACTCCATTCCCCACTTTGTGGGTAATTAACTCCAGCATTCAAAACCAAATGAATGACACACTAAACTTACAAATACTAAACAAACCTACTTCTATTTGCAGACACAAAGTTTGTGATTGAAATTAACTAGCAGAACACGAAAACGGAAACTCGAATTTCAATTAACCCTCCGCTACAAGATTCCATACTTAAAAACTAGCAACAAACGAATGCAGTGATACTAATATAAAGGCGCCTCGGGAATTAATTTTTAAATAAATCCACACATAAATCATTCAGGCTGGTTACCACCCGCTGCTCTACTTATATCGGCTTTATGATCCTTTTTGTCACATTAATTCACTGTCGGAATGTTTACTGGCTACATCGGAAAAATAAACGCTAACAAAGGCCACAAAAAGTATTACAAAAATTAAGACTTAGATAAAACAAAAAGTTTAGGCTTCAAGGAATTCGACTCCAGGAGTTTCGGCAACAGGATAAATATAAACAGTTACTCAAACAATCACGTGCGCGACGCGCACTTCTATGAAATGATACGATTAAGCTACAAAATGTCAAAAAGCAAAAGCACGAAGGGCTAGGGGCGGCGACCGCGGCTCATGCAGGGGAGAGAGGGGCAAAGGGGAGCGTGGCCGACAGTTTCTCGCCGACCACCGCGCCGCGAGCACGCCTTGTGATGCGCTCCGCGTTTTGACGCGACATGGCCTCGTCAACGACCGGCAACATCGTCATAGAGTGGTTGCGATCGCTCCACTTGGGCCAATACGCGGAAAGTTTTATAGACAATGGTTATGATGACTTAGAAATATGCAAACAAGTTGGGGAACCCGATCTGGATGCAATCGGCGTTCTCAACCCTGCACATCGTCAACGTTTATTGCATTCTATCAGAAGTTTGAGAGAAGAAGGTGCAGCAGCTGTTTACTACACTTTGGAAGAAGCATCTGCTGCTAGAGACTCTTGTCGCTGTGAAGAAGAAGCCAGAAAAGAACAAGCTGCAGCAATAATAGAGTCTGCGAAGTATGTGGATGAGTACGAAGAAGGCAAGGCTGAGTTAGTGAAAATTCCACGTATACAGCTGAAGCGTCTTCTTCGAGAACGACTTGCTCAAGATGGGATCCGCTTGAGCCTCCAGCCATATTCAACCACGGTCAGTGTTTTGTTAGCCCCACTAAGCGGGCAGTGCTTCTCGCGGTAACGGCGTGTGATTTGTGAAAGTGACGTAAGGGCATAGATGAATGAGTTGGTATGCCCATGCTATTGTGTCTGTAGTGGATCGTGATTCGGAAAGTTTATATTTTGAATATCACATGAGGCGACCGCGTAGAGACACTGCCTGCGCCTTGTTATTTCTTTTGAATGAGTCCGTGTGTGGTACGGGCCATCTTCGGCCGCCCCGGGCGGATCGCTTCTCGGGACGTGTTGCCATAAAGTTTGTTGCGTGCGTGATTTCCCTCGAGATGAGGAGTTTGCGCGCCTTCCTGTCGTGAGAAGATTGTAATCGCGTGCCTCCCGGCTCTAAATTGGGTTTTAAGATAAATCGCGCAACCTGTTTTAGCTCCCTGAGGCGTTAATTAGTTATACAACTTGTTCGGACATGAAACCAAGATACACTGCTACATAAAATTGATTACCATATGCATTTAACGGCTGCAGTTATCTCACGAACATTGCAAGGCCCTAATAACATCGCTTAAACAAATTGCAAATGGTTATAAATATGTGTGCAATCTTCAAGCAAATGGCGTTATGGACTGGATCTTAAAAGTTGTGAACTACATTCGTTGGAGTTTTACGGTCTCTTAAATTTTAGAATCCATCAAAGATTTTAAAGCAATAAACGTGATAATAAAATCCCAGGGATCAATTTCAATATAAAATTCAATGCTTACTTCCAAGTATCAGCGTTGTAAAATATCATTATACAAAGCGTAACCATTTCTAAAATAATTTATGTATCGCTTACGCGTTGTCTTCATCACATGGGCGGAAGCGCTTAGTTGATATTTTAATTGAGCTGTTATTAATTATTCGACTGGGTAGTGATTAAGGGGGCGGAATATTACGTCGATGGCACGCCCTTCTGTGCCGTGTTAATTGTACTCGACATTTGTCAGTTACTCCTTCGCGATATGATACCCTTGACTCAAGCGGGCATTTTTATCGTTAAATACACTAACTTTCAAAAGTAAATAAAAAAAGCGGCAATGTTAAGTACACAACTATATTTTGATAAGCGACTATTGTTCAAAGATATGCTGACGTTACTGCAATAGAAAATATCGATAATGCGTGTTTAAAAGACTGATGTTTTACAGTTAAAAATATTACTTCCTGAGTACACGACCGCACGCTAAATACTTAACTAGCTTTCTCAGTATTCCTTGTTGTTTACTGGCGGCAAAACTTCTTTGTTTCCAACAACGAACACAATACAGTTCAGCTTCTAATAATTTCGTTTACGAGCCGTTGGGAATTGGCCACAATGGACGCTACAAAATGAATGAAGTGCCTTGAAAAGAAAATACACTTGCACTATATGTTGATTATTAAACACAAACTTACAGACTTATAAATCCTGTTAATTAGAGCAAAGCTAAACTCATACTCTAGTAATTATGGAATGTTATGAATCAGGTTATACTTCTCATCAAATGGATTACCTTTTTCAATTATCTACATTATAACACATCTATCTCGGAATGTGAAGCGATGAGCCTACCGTAATTACCTGTGATGATTTTTTACCGGTTTTGGGTTCCCGTGTTGAAACCTGTTCGATCTCAAGTGCGCCAAGAATCCACAGCGTACAGGCGTTCATCGTCGACAAAAAAAAAGTCCACGAAAGCCACCGGCTGACTTCGCTAGACTAGTATCGCTTTCGTATAAAGACTGCTGCTGTAAATATTTACTGAGCAAAGTTTGTGCCCGACACTTACCAAATCTGTTTATCAAGGACACATTTTAGCAGAATAACATTGGTTTAAATTTTAAAGGGGAGAGTAGATCGTAGATCCTGTTAATGTTCCCATTTGTATCAATTTCTCCATTATTAATGGAATTTGCTGCCACCGTTAAATTATATCGATGCTCACTATTACCATGTTGCACATTGTTCGATCGATCCACCCTCATGTCTACCTGGGGCATTCCTTTCATCCATTCGCAGAGCAAACAAAGCCGTTGGCTACAGATTTTTTTCACCAGTAACAAATAGCTTTGTAAAACGATTACCACCGGAACTAGGTACAAAGGATCTGACAAATTTCGTCGGGGTATCGATAACGTGGTTCCGACTAATAGGCTAATGTTTATGTTTTGTTGGCGCCCATTGTGCGTGGCACATCCGCTTTTCGAAAATACATTTCAAAACTATCAAAAATTACTGTTATATGCGTTATAGAACTAACGCCGTGACCACGACTAGCCATATAAAAACTAATTTGAAGGTAATTTCCTCCCACACATCCTACTTTGTAACAGATCTTCGTGGCGATCACATTATAATCTATTGATTCCTCGGCCCGTGTTGCTAATTTTATTAATAGAAGGGTGGCGATCCGTTAATGTTATGGATTATATCGACATTAACGCTTTTCAATAGATTGGGTTTCATATTCAATTTATTTGTATTATCTTTGCTCTGTAAATCAGTACAGACAGACAGACAGTCGGTCATTTCGTTCTATTTGATCCTTCAATCAGTACTTAAACCAATTAGACCGTTTAATTGAAATGTTTATTTAGTTCAGTGTCACCAGGCTGTGGTAATAAAGCGATAACTAAAACCCATAGTAGCGGGCTGTTTAAAAATCCACTTACCAATACGTCGATATGAGACGGTTTAAATGCCACGCATATTTTAATGATGGTAAAAAACATATTAATGTTCCACCATTAGACCTTACTTCGGATAGAAAAAAGCTGTCTCACTATCTATATTCAACAGCTTTGGACGACTTAGTAAACATGCAAGAGTTGATAGAAAAACTAAATTAATGAACGCTCTCCTCTCAACGAAATTAGTTGGTATACGTAAATGGAAAGCCTAAATTCAATTGATGTATAGCTCATTTAGAAAAAAAGAAACAGGAGCAGAGTCACTATTATCTGGATTCGTAATGCGTGGGCAAATGTTTTGATAGCTTCTAAGTAGGAGCAATCAAAAGCGGTAAACAAAAGCAACAACAAAAGCTTAAGCAAGCGGCAAGCAATTTAATATTCTTTATCACTGCCTACGAGTGCTTGGTGAGAAATTTCGTTTCGAAATCTTCAACTTCCGCCGTCATAAATAATGTTTCCATAGCTATCTGTTTTATAATCAACGTGTGCCGCAGCACGTTTAACTAAATATTTGCTTTAATTAAAATTGTGCTTCTATACAATACGGTTGTTTGCTCTGAAGCGAGGCCTAATATTAGCTCGGTCGGGTTTTTCTACCTGTTTCGTCGCTTTGTTACTACGAATGTGTGCGAAGTCACGCAGTGTGGCTTTGGTTCCTTGTTTCTCGTCGACTGCTTTACGTTTTATGTTCGCCAGGTATTTTTATTCGTGTAATATAACTTCGTAAGCGTTTTATTACCTGCCTTTTTGGCAATTAACTGAAACCTTGGCTTACGAACAAATAAGTAAAAAGTAATGCGGTCAGTTTCGCTCTATACGTTCCGTTCGTTCGAACTTAATAGACGTAGTTACAATATGCACCTGAAGATCTATAAGGATATTTCAAAATACATTCCAAAACACGGAATGCTAATAGAAGTCGCTACTATATTCAAGTCGAGCTACAGGAAGGAGTATAGAGCCCTACAATAACATATCAGGTCGGAACTTCGCCAGGTGTAAGACGCGCAGTTTGCCCGTCGTGTTTGATGTTTGTTCGATCCACACAAAGCCGTCAACCCAACGGCAAACTTAGAAGATTTGCTCTCCAGCTAGTTGGGAAGATTAGCATCGGTGATTGGGAGGTCAGAGCCGGTTTGCGTTTGCTAAATTACTTAGCGTTAGGTCTCTGAGACTCTCGGACTTGCTGAGTTTCAATTCTGCTCCCGCTCGCAAAATTGATTAGGCTGGTAGTCGACACTTAAACTTTACAGACATCTTGTTAATGCCAAACCAACTGTAGTCAGAAATTTAACCACACGTGAGACAAGTGATTCTTGGCTTTCTCTATTTTATTGATGTCCGTCTTAAAGAGCTTCTTTAAGTTCCTAAGCATGGTTGTATTAAGAACAGAGCAAACACTTATGGTCCGATTCGAAGTAGGCGTAAAAGTTTATAATATTCTCAACAGCCTTTTATAACGTTGTTGTTAGTACAAACAGATAGCGTAGGCAGTGGCCGGTCAATGCGGTTCAATTGTTTGTTTTTCACGCCGCGTTCTTGGGAAGCTTCTAATCGATTCGATGATTACAAAGTACTGCTTTACGTGTAGTAAATTTAGTATTGTTTACACTTCTCGTTTTTTAAACTCACGGTTAAGCTCAGTCTATATTTCACATTCTTAATGTGTGCGTAAATGAGTTGATAATTTTATAGGAGTTGGCGTCGTGTTCGGTGTAACATATTCCCGGTAATGTGTACAATTGTACACAATGTAAGTATCCATTCTTCGATTTATATAAATTTAATTTACTTCGAAATGCGGTATGATTCATGTTTTAGAATGAAAGATTTATATAGAATCGTTTACCTCAAAAGTGCTTACAATGTCGCGTACATCACTACAGCTATAAAATGTCCAGTAGATTTATTTACAAGAAATCTCAATCAAACATAAAAGAGCTTCTTAGAAACTGCTTGGAAATAAACTTTCGAGAATCTTTGTTTTGGCTACCGCGGTGGCAACTTTCAACTATTTATTTTGAAGTTCCGAGTCAATATTTGACAGTCAATTTAGTATTCAAGTACCTGTATTATTATAGATAGATAGCTTCTTGAGGAATAACTGAATATGGTAACGCTGTTCAATAAAGTTTTGATGTGTGTCTGAGAATTGGTTTTCTCTTCTTGGTCTTGGAATTGAAACTGATTTACTTATAATTTGTCATATATTCACAAATTCAAATTCCGATTCTGTTTGCAATAAGAATACATACTTTTTAATTTTGGTGACATGTGCAGTCATATACCAGAACGGGTAATTGAAATTTAAAGACGATTGAAGTCATTCTTTTTTGCACATTACATGTTCTGGTA